AGCAAAGGTGGTGTTCGTTTCGGCGATTTCATTTACAAAAGCTGTCCAATTGTATTTAAATGCATACATTTCCATTGATGCACTTATTATGTAATTCCATAGAATTGAGAAGGCGAATAAAAGGTGACAATTATTTTCATCTAGATATGGATTACGAGAGGCTTAGTAGCAAAATTACACATGATTAGAACGAATTACAGGTGTAAACAAAATGAGCATGGAAACAAATTGAAACAATAATTTTCAACTACCATGGACCCAGTTCGATATTTTCCTTAGCCTCCGGTTTCTTTGATTTATTTTTTCGATCTCTGTAAGTGTGTGAATTTTCTCTCTTTGTCTTCATTCAATTCATCCCAATTTTTTTTCAGTCATAAGAACAGTTATTTTCAAGTTTGTTTCCATGCTCTTCCGGCTCACATTTGTAATTCGTTTAAAATAACTATTTTACAATTATATTCTGATCCTGTGTAAATTTTGTTTCTTAGCCTCTTGTAATCTATATTCACATCTCTTTACTTCCATTTCAAGTTGAAAATTATCATTCCAGTTTGTTTCCATGCTCATTTTGTTCACACCTGTAATTCGTTCTAATCATGTGTAATTTTGCTACTAAGCCTGTCGTAATCCATATCTAGATGAAAATAATTGTCACCTTTTATTCGCCTTCTCAATTCTATGGAATTACATAATAAGTGCATCAATGGAAATGTATGCATTTAAATGCAATTGAACAGCTTTTGTAAATGAAATCGCTGAAAAGGTCATCATATTTCCTGAACTTTGTGTTCCCTCCCTTCTAATATTTTCAAAAATGTGTAGTTATTAATTGAACTAAGTAATGCCTATCAGACACGAAAATATGTATGGCGTATATTCACTTCATTGTTACTCATAATAACGACAGACAAATTTTCATAGATAATTAATTACTCTGACTTTTATTGATTTTAATTACAGGATTAGTTGTGTGAATACACAGTTTATAATGCGTAGCTTCATGTCTTGTTTTGATGATTTTGTTTCTGTGTTTGTTTGTGCATGTGTCAATGGATGGGTGAGTTTTTTTCTGTGCATAGTCGAGTGGGTTATCATCCCCCTCCTGATTGCGTAATTTCGGTTTACACAACTTACAGTTATATTCTCTGAAAATTTTTTTTTATTGGGTGCAGTATTGTACAGAATACCTATTTCCCCTTAAATTCTTATCGTGAGGTACCTTCAAAATAAACAGTTTCGCACTAATTCCTTGTACAAATCTGACAATTATACAAATATATACCTAACTAATTTTCGGATTATTTTTTTGTTGTTGCTGGAATCTGATGTAATAACTGCATGAGTGGGTTTCACACCGATTTAGATTAGTAGATGACACTTGAAGTCAATGATAGGAAGTTAATGTATTGAGCAATTAATATGTAATAAATATTTAGTCAAAAATATTAACCAAATATATGAAAGCGGAAATCCTAAAATTAACTCTTCACAAATGTGTTCAAGTTAAGAAGGATAAATCAGTTATTATTAAACTGGACTCTATGGTTTCTCATGTTTTCTAGGGTCAGAGATGAACAGACGAAGTAAGCAAAGGCAAATTCGATAATATGAAACACTTATTATTACGAACGCAGCACATTCCAGAGCAAATAAGTCAAGTGTACAGACTAACACAAGAACAGTATGCAACTTATCAGATAGAGAATTCAGTGTACCTGAAACGGCATTACTTGAGAAAGGATTAAAATTTAACACAACTCGAAAACCACTGAAAGCGATAGAAATAGCTTCAATCATGGAAGCTGTATTAACTGTATTAACCCTTTTACCTGATGATGAAGCCAATGAATTGCATCAGATGACTGAATGTATCCTGTCGAATCAAAACCAGGTCATCCCAAATTTGTCGTAAAATGAACATCATGCATTACAAACACTAAGATCAGACAAATCTATTGTTATAACTAAAGCTGACAAAGGCAATATCCCTGTGATTCTTAATAAAGATGACTATGACAAGAAAGCTTTAGAACATATCGAATCAGGTCAGTACGCATTTGTACCGATAAACAAAATGTCTAGTACTATGAACAATGCAAAAGCACAAGTATGAAATCCACTTAGAGAATTGAAACCAAAGCTAGTGAATTCAGTCTGGTCTTCAATAGCTCTCAAAACAAACACAGTGGCGAGATTTTATGTAAGGGCGAAAATCCACAAGATAAGTGTTCCTTTATAAGTGGTAATCGACTTCACCAATTCAGTGATATACGCTTTATCAAAACACTGAAACAACTTCAGTACAGTATTTATTCCTTCGAACATTGAAAATATTGAGGAGTTTAAAAGGAAGGTAATTGACATAACAATTGAAGAAGACGAAATGACGTCAAGTCTTGATGTGGTTTCTCCATTCACTAGTATTCCTATATGTGATGCATGCACTTGATATTATGAAATATGAACTTGAAAACAATCGGAAGTATTATCTAAGTCTTCATTATCAATAGAAGACGTTATAAAATGCCTGAAAATTTGTTTAGAATCTACTTGTTTTACCTTTAAAGACAAAGTATATTGTCAGACAAATGGAGTTGCAATGGGTTCAGTAGTATCTCCAATTGTAGCAAACTTGGGCATAGTCGAGGCACTAGCTATCCAAAAGCTCAAACCCACTCTATGTATCTAAAAGAAATACATCTAATCCTTGCTCCTGCCATGGCCATCAGAAACAGGTAATTCTTTTAGTAATGATCATCCGATTGCTTTTCCTATCCAAACTTCTTGTTTATTCATGTTATTTTTAAGTTTTTCTTAATCCCTATTCACACTACTATATTTTCATATCTGAACTTCCTGTCTATTTTATCACCTTATTATTTGTGCATATTTAATCCCTAACTGCATAAACAATTATTCGTCACATTAGCTATGATCCCACTGTATTTTTTATGCAAACATCCTGTCTATTTTTGCTGTTTCTAAATTTCTAATCCCCAATTGCACAATATATATCAATCTTCTCAGTAATTATGATGCTACTTTGTTTGAGTTTCATCACCCCACCCCACCTGTTTATTATGACATTTTAATTCCTAATTGTAATTTTGTTAATTTGACCTTTGACCGGAAATTATTCTGGAACTTTCCCACCCATTTATCATAAATACACGAATGTACAGTCTAGTTGATGAGTATATTTTATATGAGTTAACTTGTCCACTTTTCAATGACTTCAAGTAGCTAATTACCCACTACTTAATCTTAAGAGTAATATTTTTAGTTCTATATAATTTCTGAAGACTGAATACGTCGTTTAAGATTCCATTCATCTTACTAATGTAGTCAACATAAATCAATTATTTTATCTGTCAGGGTAATGTAATGACAAGACTGACTGTATGTACATTATCATAAACATCGATTTGATTCCCACCATCGAATACTTATGCCTATAGTAACAGTCTATGAGAACTATTTTCAAGCTTTCTATCCCCTACTCTTATATGGTGAAGTTAAATTCTCAAAGTATAACTCTTATTCTAACCAGTTTACAGCATGTCTTACATCCCACATACGCACATGACAAAACTTACATTTCAATGCAGTTTAGGTAAAAGCTGAAGTAGTTGTGAAAATACCTCTTTTAGTTCGATAAGAAAAATCAGGTGAGTGTTGTTGTAACAACAGAAGGCAAGACACGGAAGCCTAAAGTACATTTCCCATTGATCAAACCGTTGTCGTTACACATCTACAGTTTATATTCGTCAACCAATTCGTTAACTGAACGTGTGATTTCCTTTTACGTCAAACGACATTAAATATAATGTTCAAATATACATAGTGTTAATGCAGTTTACAACCGTGGGCGGAGAGTATTCTCGCCCTAACATCAAATAGAATGTTCAAATAGAGATGTATTGTATTCTTCTGCTTATCCCGAATTGAACTGTGGGAATATGTGTGATAGGATCCCACATATTTTGGTATTGACTGTTTAATCTTGCATATATGGTATGTTATCATTCTCACACATTTTGGTAGTGACTGCTAATTTTGTATATATGGTATATTATCATTCCCACACATTTTGTTACTGACTGTCAACCTCGCACATATGGTATATTATCATCTCTCACGCACTTTGTTATTGGCTATTAAGATAAATTATTTCAAATGCTGTTAGCTGTCCATATTGTTGTAAAATGTATAAATACCATGGCTTTCTTTATCGTTGTTGCACTTCAATACACAGTCACAGTCCAGCCTTTGTCTTTTGATATTTGCGTGCTTTACTAAGTCGGAAGGTACGACGAGCAGATAGACAGATTAGTTCAGGCGCAGACAGAATAAGGTGAAAACGTCTTCATTCAATTCCCTACAGTTATAACAAATTGGCGACGGGGTTTTACCTTAATTCAGTGCAGTTATAACAAATTGGCGACGGGGTTTACCTTAATTCATCGCAGTTATAGCAAGCAAACGACGACAGTTTTTATTCTGTTCAGCGCAACTATATAACATTTTTGACTGTGTTAATTACAACCCAATTACAATGTCTATCTCTCTGGACGATCTCAAATCTATCTTGCAGCAGCAGCAAGTTCAGAATGAAGCAGCTCAACTAAAATTAATCGAAGCTCTCACTCAGAAGCTGTCCATTCAAGTTCCATCAACATCTCATTCTGACAAATATGAAAGCATCTCAAATTCCATCAGTGAGTTCAACTACGACCCAATATCTGGTCTCGTATTTGATGCATGGTTCAATCGTTACGAAGACGTCTTCCGTATTGAATGCTACATGTTTGATGATGCTGCCAAAGTCCGATTGTTACTAAGAAAACTTGGTACTGTTGAGCACAACAGATATGTTAACTTCATTCTGCCTAAGAACCCACGTGAGTTATCATTCGATGAGACAGTCACCGTTTTATCACAAATCTTTGGTGAACAGTCATCCATGTTTAATATTCGGTATCAATGTTTTCAGTTGACAAAAATGCCTTCCGATGATTATGTGACTTACGCTGGCAAAGTGAACAAGGAATGTGAAAGGTTCAAACCACACGAAATGACATCAGATCAGTTCAAGTGTTTGATTTTTATTTGTGGGTTGAAGAACCCAGAAGATACTGACATACGAACTCGACTTCTGTCACTTGTGGAACAAGACCCGAAAATGACCTTACAAATGGTGACAGCAGAATGCCTACGTTTAATCAACTTGAAGCACGATACTGCTATGGTGGAGTGCAAACGACAGTCGTCTGAATTTGGTTCGATTAACACAGTGAAAAGTCCTCCGATCACCGTTAAGCACACAGCACGTCAGTCTCAAAATTCAGCTAAACCTCCTTCAGTGTGCTGGCACTGTGGTTCGTGGCATTTTGTCAAGTTCTGTCCTTTCAAGAAGCATAAATGCCGTAATTGTCACCGTTTTGGACATAAGGAGGGTTACTGTACACCGCAGAAAAATCCTTCGGTGAGGAACAGAAGTAGTCGTTTCAAGCCGAAACAATCTCCTCGAGTACAGACCGTTTTCACTACTTCCAAAGTCGAGTTCGCCAGCAAACGTAAGTACATAACACTAGATATTAACGGCAAACGTATTCGTCTTCAGTTGGATACGGCATCAGATATCACCGTAATTTCCCGAACTACGTGGCGCAAACTTGGTTGCCCACAGATTCTGCCGACCGAGCATGTCGCCAAGAATGTCTCTGGAGATATACTGAAACTCGTGGGTGAGATCAATTGCCAGGTTCAGTTTGGTGAGCATCACTTCAATGGTGTATGTTACGTTACAAACTACCATGATTTGGATTTGCTTGGTCTTGACTGGTTAGACAAGCTCCATATCTTTAATGTACCATTAAATTCAGTATGCTCTAATGTTTCGTCTTCACCACACAACGTTGTTCCCGGAGATGTATCTGATCAATCTCTCTTGCAACGCCGTCGTCAAAAGCACGCTTCTGTCTTCCAGGACAAACTTGGTTGCTGCAAACTGTTTGGCATCCAGCATATTCGTAGCCCCCCGTATCATCCCCAATCGAATGGACAGACTGAACGTTTCGTCGACACCTTTAAGCGTGCTTATGCAAAAGCGAAGGGGGAGGGAACAACAGAAAAATTTTGGATAAATTCTTGCTGCATTATCGTACGAATGAAAAAGGACAGTTATGTGTCAGACACACAGATCACGCTCTATCCAGTACCACGCAAAGGTCAACTCGACAAAGAAGAGCTCCGAAACCTTTTCAAATAGATCCAAAAAGCAAGTCCTACACTCTTTACGGGGGGAGGTGATAGGATCCCACATATTTTGGTATTGACTGTTTAAACTTGCATATATGGTATGTTATCATTCTCACACATTTTGGTATTGACTGCTAATTTTGTATATTATCATTCTCACGCATTTTGGTAGTGACTGCTAATTTTGTATATATGGTATATTATCATTCTCACCATTTTGGTAGTGACTGTAATTTGTATATGGTATATTATCATTCTCACACATTTTGGTAGTGACTGCTAATCTTGTATATATGGTATATTATCATCCCACACATTTTGGTAGTGACGTTAATCTTGTATATATGGTATATTATCATTCCCACACATTTTGGTATTGACTGCTAATCTTGTATATATGGTATATTATCATTCTCACACATTTTGTTACTGACTGTCAACCTCGCACATATGGTATATTATCATCTCTCACGCACTTTGTTATTGGCTATTAAGATAAATTATTTCAAATGCTGTTAGCTGTCCATATTGTTGTAAAATGTATAAATACCATGGCTTTCTTTATCGTTGTTGCACCTCAATACACAGTCACAGTCCAGCCTTTGTCTTTTGATATTTGCGTGCTTTACTAAGTCGGAAGGTACGACGAGCAGATAGACAGATTAGTTCAGGCGCAGACAGAATAAGGTGAAAACGTCTTCATTTAAGTCCCTACAGTTATAACAATGTGAGAATAGTATTCCGTTGGTACACAGTGTCTGTTTTACACCATCACAATTTAATTGTGAAGATTTAAATCTATGTAATGTCTGAATGTGTGTTTTCGAGGTGAAGCTCAATGAAATTTTAAAGAAATCACATACTTCCTTAAGACTCTTGGAAATCTTATGGAGGTAACTTGTATGAAAAGTAATTCCCGAAGAGAACTTCTATTGATTGATATATGGAATAATTTTCAAGTGTTGGTTTTGTAGGGATTTGGTTTGATTGTCAGCTCATGATTAAATCCTCCATACAATCAAACCAAATCCCTACAAAACCAACACTTGAAAATTATACTGATGCTCACTAGCGACTGGCCCTATTCAGGCAGTTAACCTGGGGTTCTAGTGGGAAGCCGTGACCAGTAGGGTACAGCAGGTCGAAGATGAGGCAGTAACTCATCGAAGAAGACCTTGCAAAGTGGTCGCGCTATGTCGTGAATTGGCAGAAGTTAGAATTCAAGAACCATTGGATCGGGTCCCAGTGGCTCAATGGTCTACGAGCTCACCTTGTAACCAGGAGGTCCTGGGTTCGAACCCCGGTGTTTGCGTACTGCTGAGGAGTCCCAAACCAGGACGAAACAGCTGTCCAGTACTCCCAGGTTTTCCAGTGGTTCTCTAACTGATGTCAGCTCATGATTAAATCCTCCATATGGAATAATGTTAGGACTTGAATAGTGTTTTGTTTTGAAATGGCTGCTTCTTTCACTTGGTTTGTTCTGCTCATTCATCACAATTCATTAAAGTCTGCAAGTATTTAATTATCTTGATTTATGGATGGTTGTCATCTGAAGTGTCACTATTCGTATGGAGTTCCATTGTACACGTAGTGATGGATGTAACTGTGGTCGACTAAGGTATTCAAGGATATGGACTACGATGACCGAATCTGATAAGCACTTCACTCTTTTTGGAAGCTGCATCAGAATTAATAGTCTAATTCCTGGGGAAGTTTCACCACGGACGCAACAGGTTGATCTAGTAATTACCAACTTGCATCGTTATCAGTATCGACACGATATTCGGGGATGCATAAAAGACCCTGTGTACTATGCGGCTGCTGACTCAATCCTATTTTACAGTTGGGTGACATGTTAGTTTAAGTCACCAATTTAGACCATAGATGTCTGTTCTCAATCTTTTCGACAGTCTTGAATAGTATGTTACAATCATTAAAAATAAGGTTATTCAAAGACTACTAGACAATAAGGGAAAGCCAGTGGATAAGGTGGTGAAGCCCTACAGATTGAGATAGCTAAGGCATGTGCTACACACCGCCTAACCGTCACTTTATTCGAAAAACAGTGTTAATTGGAAGATGACTATAATGGGAAAGAATCAGACGTGGTCAGATTCCAAACGAATGTCACTAATCCAGGAAGACTTGGATTGTTCTTCTGAGCCACGTAAAACCGTGTAAATTACTTGATTGGTTTCCTCGAAATCATACAAATGACTATTTGGACATTATTTGTGGAATGTCTCAAAGTCGTTTGCAACAACTCAGACATATTCCCTCTTTGTTATCATTCACATCTTTGAAATCCTAATTAATCTTCATTGAGTCACTCTGTCTTTCTTTCCCCCAACCCCGATCCTACCCCCCTCCCAAGCTGGTATATTCTCATCCATGTTATTTACATTATACATTAGATTCATTCTCTCAACTTCTATGTCCAGCTTGATTTGATGTTCTTTTGTGTCAAGTTCTCCTCTGATAACCAGTCATTCAATCAGCTTTCTTTCGAATTTTGTTATTGAGATCAGTTTATGCTCTTTTTTCTTTAATTCACTTTTGTTTAAAATGACTAAAACTAGGTATCATGTGAAGTGTATAGTGACTCACTGATGACCAAGTTAATGAGATGTCCATACAACGACTATCTGAAAAGATAACATTACCTTCTGAATTCCTTCAGATCTGTTCTTACTGTATCGTTATTGTTATAATTGTTGTTATAATTATTCGTTAATCAACAAGAAAGCGGACTATTTGATTACAGTCATTACTATTTACAATGTTCTGACATGAAACATGTAAAATGACATTTTTCAAAAATGTATTTTTTATTCCAGTGTCTAAACATTTACTCAACCTTGATATTTATCTATTTATTGATTGTTTGATTCAAATCTGTTTTCATAGGTCAGTCAGTTTACTTGACAGTAAAACGGAGCGATGAACGATGTTGAACATTGAATATTGTTATAATCAGTTCATTTAATCATGTAATGCAGTTTATTTTGATGGACAAACACTATTTTGCAAATATGTGTTGTTTCCTTTAATTTAAAAAGGAACAACATTGGTTTCATCATGAATTATTAAGATGAAGGGAATATCTTAGTTGACCTGCTACATGTAAAGCAAAGGACAACACAAAAATAAACAAAACACGGATATTTCTTAGTTTATTTTCGAAATATTATTGATTGTTCTCAAATATTCAACTATTGGTTTGTAGGTATTTGACTGACTGGTTACAGGACTTCATAATGAGCTGACATCGGTTAGAGAAGCATTGGAAAACGTCCAGGGAGCACTGGACAGCTGTTTCGTCAATGATACGGCCATATCATGAACTGGCAGCAGGTGGAATTCATGGACTGGCCATTGGATTGGGTCACAGTGACTTAATGGTCTATGAGCTTGCTCGCCTTGTAGCCAAAAGATCCTGGGTTCGAACCCCGTAGTGTGCAGTGCATACTGATGAAGAGTCCCACACTAGGCTGATGAAACAGCTGGCTGTCCAGTACTCCCTGCAGGTTTTTCAGTGGTTCTGTAAACGATGTCAGCTCATGATGAAGTCCTGTTCTTATAAATAGTTAAACTTAATGAATTAATAACCAACTTAAGTAGATTGACCAATAAGATGGGAAAACATCTTGAAACTATCTGTTGGTAATAAGCATACAAGACTGTGAATTAGAGAAATGTTTTAAGCATTGGAAAAGAAGTTGAGTAATAAAGACAAGAGGTGGGCAATTAGAACATAAGTAACTAGTTAATTGCGTAACAATATGGTGAATTCGACACAAATCATAGAAGCAACAATCACAAGGAGAATAACAACATTGTAGCAAATTGGTAAAGAGGTTACAGGCAAAAATTACAAAATCAATTTTAAAAAAAGAGTAGGAACATTGAGTTATCGAGACAGGAAAAGACTGACAAATGCTAATTTCTGAACACATGAGTCGAATTTTAAACGTTTGGTAACAGTTGTTTCGGTAAGACTATGGAGAAATGAATTACATTGTCTCATGATAATCTTACATAACTAATTTATCATTGTATTCAAACATTTATTATTTGTTGCTTTGTTTTATATAAGCTATATAAAACAAAATCTCTAGGCAGTATGCTAAAATTGCACTGTAAACTTGGCAAATAATAATTCATCGATTCATTTTGGATACAGCTAGAATATTTGTTGTGCCAATTAACTATATAAGACCCTGCGACTATTGTTACTCTCACCAATTCAGTCTAGTAACTCCACATATCAAAATAACAAGCTTCAACCACTGGTAATAATTAACGGTGAAGTATGCTCAACGTTACTGAACTTAAATACCTAATTAGTTACTCGCTTAGGTTTAGGCGGATTTCTGACTTTAAAGTTATGTGAGTGAATATCATCTCGATTCAGATGTATTTGCATAGTGAAATAAGTTGGGGTTCAAAGTGAGATTTCTTGAAATTTCACCGAATCGATAACTACACAAATAAGATGAAATAATGAATCACAGTAACAGGTAGTTAACAAATACCTTCAGATACTGACGATGTCAAACTGGCCTCCCTGTAATGTAATCAATCGTCACAGAGTCTTCTGTTGGAATAAGTTGAGTAAGCGAAATTAAAATAGACGAAATATGCTGACTGAATATATTGTCAAAATAAATGTTCGCTAAGTTCATAGGTGACATTTTATTGCTACTTAAATATCAGTCATCAACTGAGAGTACTTGTATTTCCCTTGACTTGAACTAGTTAACAAAAAGATGGAAGGATAAAGGAAGCGTTAAGAAATGAGCGACGGGACCTAACTAGTTAGCGCCACCATCTACAAACAGCGTATTAAATTGGAAAACTTATCTTACTGAGTATCATTGATAAAACTGTGGAGATCTTTACCTGAAGGCAGTGATTGCATAAAATCATTTTATTATCACTGTGACATTTTGAGCGGAAGGATCACCAAATATCTGAATGAGTTTTATGTGTATGTGGACGAATCATTCGCTTGGTGATGTTGTAAGATTAAAGCACTAACCAATCTCCGAATGGAAGTACTTAACACGAACTTTCTCCATATTGGAATTATACTCTACCACAGTGACCAATTCCTATTCCTGTAGAATTTACTGAATTTGAGATGAAATTTTGCAGTATATGAGATCTCCATTCTTCCTCTGATCTATATACCATTTTGATTTCAACATCTATTACTGGAAGAT